TTCCCTTCGTTTCCCTAATCCCACTGCATCTAAAGTTGCCTCTTGTTTGAGAACTATATTAGGTTATTCACAAGAACATTTTTCCTAAATCAGAATCACTTAGTAGAAAAACAAGATTAAAATGATTTTATTTTCTGAGAAAAAAGGACTTCCCATCCTCTTTACACCGTTACTTCATTTGCTCACTGATGTCACTCAGCCATGTCTATCAATTTAGGTTCTATTTGTCCGGAAGAGGGGTGGGGGAGGCACTGCTTGTTAACTCCACCTACGGTTCTGTAATAGACTTGCCCAAATAGTTCGCAAGTGGTGCTGTTTCACTTATTCGTAGCAATTTTCGTGGACTGTTGTAGATGGCAAACATAATTGTCGGCGCTTCTTGTGGGCACCATCATCGAGTGTCCATCCATGCCATATGACCTTTATTAGCATGGCAGGGTTCATCATTAAGTGAATGGAAATCGAAGTGGGTGTCCTTCAGAATCGGTCCTCGCACAGCTGCCACCGGCGTAGCAAGCACCCAACCAGCACTTTAACGATCGTCAACCTTATCCCACTCGTTATGAATATTTCATGAGTCGCGCATTCTCTTACTCCTTCACCAATCTTTCCTTATGCATCCTAGTTAGTACAAAATCACTGTTTTTTGTTAAGTTATTTACAAGGTTTCCGGTTGAAAATTTGTGCCAAGTAGGAACCTAGAAATTATAATAAGGTAGTACAACTGTGTTGAAGTAAGTGAAGTCATGATGAAGAAGTCTCCATTTGACCATAAAAACTTGGAAATGAAGATATAGTGGGTAGAAAGTCAGTGCAATCAAAGAAGGTTGCACTTAATCCTCCTTAACGCATCACAAAGACCTTCCTTCCAACTTCTGCATACCTGAAGGAATGGTTAGTCTCTACGGGCACTACCAAGTACATGACCAAGTCATTTTCAAACAACCAACAAAATTACCCATGGTGATGGTAAAACTTTTATCAAAAGACCAGTTTGAGCTTAGATTAATTTGTTGGAGTAAGATTTCACAAACTAACTGCTCTTTGGTTGGAAATACTGAAAGTATTTGTCAAATCGAGCAAGAAGACAGTTTTTAGAGATTGGCTGCGTCACCGAGACAAACGGTATATCCCCATACAATGGCTGAAATTTGTAATCACCTTTGTCATTCTTACAAAGACCATTTCTCTCCTATTTGACTTGGCCCCTCTCAGAGGAATCATTAAAATGCTTTAGAAGGCAAGCAAATTCGGACCGTTGAAGTAGTTGGACTAAGACCCCATGAGGGATCAATACCAAAGCAACACAATTCATTCCGATTTCTCCAACCTTGTCTAAATTGGCTTCTTCGTAGTTTGGAATTCTTTAAGTGGTTGCGCTCTAGTTGGAACAAACTGATACCATCATGGAGTGCCAGTGTCTGATTTGAGACCTGTATTTTTATGATCTCACCACTTTCAAACAGACAAATCTTCTAGGCCACAGCATGGTGCTTAACTTATCCTTCAAGTTTATGTATTCTATCCGAATTTTATGAGCGATTACAAAAGGGGATGCCTGTAGAGATGTGCTGCTTTCCATGTATCATTTATACAGCATTTTTCAAAGAAATTTTCTAATTAACTCCATGAAAGTTTTTGGCTACCTAGATAGTTTGCAGATTGGCCAAAGGTAAATTAGTCTTATAAATCTGCTAAACAGATTTTTTGCTTGGGTGGAGCATCACAAGTATGCAGCGTACTTGTCTCCCCTGTTTATGAGAACTTCTTGGGCTTAAATAGTAAGAGACACACAGTGATCCCCGTTTATGGCATGATCCCATTGAAGCGGCAACTGAACTGACAAAAGCTGATGCGGCAACCGATGTTAGGACCGAGCAAAGAAGAGTTTAGGCGGTTGTGTAGAGTTCTTTTTTCCTCTTTTTAGCGTTGTGACAGAGCGTTAACTAAGCACCACTGTGGCACCGACAAAAACAAGTTTGAATAACTAAAGCATCGGTACAAACCCGTTGACATAGCTGATTTATAAAATTTGCAGGAATCTTTGTCATTAAAAATGAAACTTTTCGGCAATTTATGAATAGCTTTGGCTTATGATGCGAACAACAGAAATGTTTTTATCAGTTTTAATTCTCTTTTATAGCACCAAAATGTCCATTCGGTTAGAAACCGGGTTTGTTTATTTTAGGTAACGCTGATACATCACAATTGGGCGTTTGATTGAACTCGTTGGTAAGGCTAACCTTCTCGTGGCTTTTTCCGAAGACGAAGACGAATGCCTCTTTGCCCCACAAGGAGTTGGCATGGTTAACTGCACAACCCATTCTAAAGGTCAAATTTCGAAGCTTCAGGCTTATTGGAAGCATTTTGGAACTAGTGATGTAATTAGTCCAAATGAAAAGACTTTATTGTGTCTCCGTGCATAAGCTTGGAAATGTTTACAACTCTATAATTCCTTGACCCTCTTTGTGCTGTGAGGGTATAAAGACAGTAATGGGTTCTACTAAGAGGCACATAAACATCTTATAACGCCAATTCAATTCCCCTCCCCTGGTCTTTGCATGAGTCCCGCTCCTTCACTTCAAAGTATCAGACATCCAGTGAAAAGGCTATAAAGACTACCTGATTCTTGACAAGAGGCAAAACAACTTGCTACTGCGTGCTTTATCCTCTTAAATATGGTGATGTGAGACTAAACTAGCGGAGATTGAGATATTTTGCCTTCCTGGAGAAGTGATTTACCTAGGGCATCAGAAATGCTCAACTGACCGCCTTTATCCTTGCTTGAATTGCCTTTTTTTCCTGCCTTTGCACTGCGGTGCTCGTGGTTGTTTTTATGACTCAAAACCACTCCTAGGATAAATGAACAATTGTATTGCATATTCTGTGGATGGGATAGAGGGCAAAAGTGCAGCCTCAGGGGAACGAAGTACTTCCCTCCATTCACATAATGCACCCTTAAATCTCAAAACTATCTAATCTCTACAAAGCTATCAACCATACCTTTTCGTTAGTTATCACTGGCGAGGGTACACCTTCCAAATTGTAGCCAGTACTTGTTCAAGCAAGGTCAACTTAAGGTTTTGCGTAAGACTAAACCAACCCAATGAGAGCAATATAGGCTTAGTCAAGGAAGCAATAGTTTTTCTCTCACCAAGTGTGATGACTTATTTCGGCCGAGGAGTAGACACAAAACCAGTCAGCTAGTGGAAAGTTGCTGTCAAAAATATATTTTTTTTCCAAACTGTTGTCATCAATGTCAGTAAAAGTTAAGGATCGGGTCCGGAAAGGGTGTGGGAGACAAAGTTTAGAATCACAGTCTCGTCATGTTATTCGAAAATCGCCATTCAGAATGCGTATAAAAGCTCGTTTGAATGCAATATTGGCCATCGCGTAGCAGAAGGGATTGATGGGCGAATTCATGTAGCACATGTAGTAGGCAAAATTATACAAATGCACATTAATGCATGAATAATTCTGACTCGGAATGTCACAGAATCCCTTAATTAGTATAATAATGTGATAAGGCGTCCAACATATTACAAAGGCTCCCAAAATGAAACTGATCATACGCAGAGCCTTGCGTGCCCGTCTCCGCTTTCGACGTTCCACCTTCCCCTTCTCTACACTCTTCTGATTTTGGAACCAAATGAATCGGTCTCGAATGCTGCTTTGATTGAACACATTTTTGCGGGATTTGGTGTCATTATTGGTGTTGTTTTTGTTATTATTATTATTAGGGTTATTATATTGCTGCTTCACAGAATCGGTTGAACTATTTTCGGTTCTTGCGAAAGAGGACGATTCCTTGCGTTTGGAGTTTGCAATTTTTAACCTTGACCGCAAGAACGAGGGCACTGTTAACCTACTTCTTTTCCCTTCTTTGTGTGACGGAAGTGCCTGTCGTGTGTCGCTTGTATTTTCGGTCGTGTCTACAGCGCTGTTGGTGCCCTCCTGTTTGTGCTTACGAGTCTAAAACATACGAAACGGCGGTAGCATATTTGACCAAGCTATAAAAAGACTTGAAATCCAAGTCAGTGGAGTAAAATGTTATCAGTGGCAAATGTTCGGCAATGCAAGGAGTCTTACCATCTTTTATTTTCTGATTTAGCACTGGGCTAAGTGACTGGGGAGGAGGGAAAGGCGGTAGAGGGAACAAAGACGTATCGTGGAGTAGTGTTGGAAAAAGGATAGTCGTGAAATGAGGCTTTTTGCAGGCATCACCATCTAATGACAATTCGTGACCAGCTTTTATACAAGGTAATATTCGTAAAGCCGTGATCATTTGCATGTCCACCTCCCATGAGTTTCCCTTAAAACTGACGAGGCCTGGATTATGCTTCAGCCATGGCGGTGGCTTGAAATCTCCATTCCTTGCAGTCAAATTGGCTTACAGTTTAACTTCAATTTTTAGGAAATTCTACAAAAAATGCAGCCTAAGTGATGTGTTCAACGATGGTGTGTCTGGAAGGGCTGATTTCAACACATTCAGACACGTATTTTAACCGCCTCGTGAAAGGGCAATACATAGTATTGTTCCTTTTTGAAAAAAAAATGGAAGTAAGGGTGATCTAAACCGAGAAGAGTTCTAATACTTTTTTGGTGTTCATCATCGTTCTAAAAGCCACTAAACAATTTTGTATTTTTACATTGCTTTACTGAAACGTAAAAGCTACTGTCTTACCTCCGCTCTGCAAAAAATCCAAGGGTATGGAACATTAATTCCATAACAATACATTGTTTACTGATTAATCTTTATGGCAAAAATAGATTTTCGTAAGAGTAAAATGGCGTCTAAGCCATCTAATTAAGGCCAAGCCACTCTCTGTGTCGGCTGTATGTTCTGGGTGTTCGAGCATCATGGCGTCCATCGTTTTCAAGGCAACCTCACAGTACTTAATTTAGAACGAGAGACGACCATACCGACGCTTGTTGGACAAAAGAAAAATGATACGACTTTTTGTTGAGAGCTGCTTCAAAGCTTTAAGAACTAAAGTCTGTAACTTTGTTCTTGTATTCGTTGTAAAGCTTAAAATGATGCACTATCCATCAGCGAGAGCTTTTAGCTTCTGGAGGAAAGAGGGTAGAGATTTTCAATCAACTAATGCTTACGTTGGGAGGAAAGGATTGTACTGGACAATGATAAACCTTCCAATATTAAAGTAGCACCCAGGAATTTGGAGTTGGTTATGACTCATCGAATGCAACAGAAGGCAAAGGATATTCAGGTAGAATTTATTCCTCAGAAAGGCTCAAAATGTCAGTTTTGAAGCTCTATTAGTAGTTTGCGCTCCCCCTTCTCATAGTAACATCTATTTTAAGATGGGTTACTGCTCTCTAATGGTCAGAGTTCATCTACACGTCTCATGGTAGTATCCTTAGACTAGCCAATCGCTACAGCTTGGCGTCTGAAATTTCGGTGGATTTTCATGGTTGTCACCAACGTGAAGATGGGCTGAAAGCAAGAGACAAGGTTTCTACCCATCTTAGCTTTCGACGGAGTAGTCAGTCATTCCGCATACAGCTACCGTAATAAGCGTTAGAAAGGGGTGGGCAGTAAAACACCAAAGACCTACCTCTTTGCAATGGTCCTCGAACCTAAACGAGGACTTTGATCCATTTTGTCGTGTCCATGGATCATCACACTCCGAGAATACGGAAGAGGCTCTGCTGGGAGGTGCATTAGGCGATAGTATGCAGCGATAGTGATCACAGAACTCGGGCATTTCGAGACTCAACGAACTGGACCTCCGCTTACATCCTAAACCCAAATCCGAGGTTGTGCGCATGTTGTTTGACTCGCCCAGACCGGAGTCAATGAATTCTGTTTGATGCTCAGCTTGCAGCTGAGGTGAGGAGTTATTCATGTTCACTTGTTTGTTCACGCTTTTGTCAGTCTTATAAGGTTGACTATAAAAAAAATCATGCAAATTAGAACAATTATAGCTCTGTGTTTTATCAACTGATGATTGTACAAATAAGATTGCATTGTAGAGACAAAAGGGTACAAAAAGTTGCGACGACTGTGAATAGCATACACTGTAGCCAAAAGGATTTTACAAGCGCCCATCAACCACGGTTTTCTAAAGGTTGTCAGTTCTTATTTAATAAGTTTTACTAATTTTTTGTATGCATCTACTTCTGAACTTTTAAATGAAGTTTTAAATTGTAGCACCCTAACTGCTATTTAAAATCATTGGAAACAACTAATCATGAAGCTGGGACCTGGTGTCTTTATAGGCATTGAGACAATGTTTGAGGAGGAATGAAATGTCAAAACCCATATTTCCTGGACTGCATGCCCTTCGAGTCCTGCCTGCAGCCCCCGCCTCAACCACTTTCTTGGCTGAAAAAAAACATATTCTGTCCTCAGGAATGCCTCGGGGCACAGCTTTGACGGTGGAAGAAAGTAAACCAAGCCCGAAGGACAACTGCACTGACATCCCTTACTCAAATGCAAACGTGATGGAAAAGAAGCAATTTTATGTAAATCTCCGACAAAGAAAGATAGAATGGCGACCAACTCTGGGAAATAGTATGCTTTTTGTTCTGTGGGAAGGCTATAAATAGGTGTAGTGGCACTAGCTGTGACCTGTTTTGAAAAGTTCGTTGCGAATCCGTCAACAAAGTGAACACGCAATGCCTCCTTCACCCCTCTACCGGACAAATAGAACTTAGATTGATAGACATGACTCAGTATCACCAGAGGGACAACAAATTGCCAAGGGAAATTGGAGAGGGTAATTCTTTTTCTAGCAAGACAATTTTCAATCCCATTTGCTCTCAAAGAATCCTGTCACCTCTTGTCAATTCCCTTTATCCTTAAGGATTTGAAATTAGTACATTCTTTTTTTAAATTGAGTTGCTCTATCAAAAAGGGTCTTAAAATGCGGTTTTTTAAAGAAAAAAATTTTACTCACTGAGACTTAAAATAGTCCAAGCTCACGCAACTTCGTGATTTAATTAATCAGAACTTCATGGTTTTAAAGGATGTGCAAACTCAAGGCATCAATCTTCTCCTATCGGTTTCGCTTGATATTATCTCCAATCCCCAAACTCGCTTTGACCTGCCTGTCTAATCTGGTTTTTCAAAAAGCTTTAAGTGAGTTAGCCTGGAATTTCCGATCTAACAGCAATCCATTAGTGCTTTGTTAGTTTAAAGCGTTTCAAGGGTTGGGCACAAGCCATACAGTCTTTTAATGGAAGTTATAGCAACAACAAGACTTTCATACATAGGACGAAACTCTTCCGAAGGGCAGTTGTTTCTACATTAGACTAACCTCATTCACGATTAATGGAGAGACGACGACTACTACAGGTTGGATCCTTATTAGGCCTTTGTTTTTGCTGTCCCCAGGTATTCTGAATACACGAATGCATAGGAAGTGGCTGTGCCTTCACCGCCCCATTCGGTGCTAAATAAACTTAGTTTAGACCTGTGACTCACTCCAGTCTTGACAAATACTAACATCTCGAATTATCTGGAACACCTGCGCGCCTTGAAGGGACTTCACCCCTCCCTTCATAGGGGTCTTAAACAGGTTTTGACTCCTGATAACTGACGTCTAGGCCTCTGTCAATTAAAGAAAAGACGAATAACTCGAGTTTTTTCATGGATAGATGGTAAATGAAAGGAGGTTATATTGACATAAACATTATCTCTCAAATGTTTTGTATCTGACATTTAAATGGATCATTCTAAACTCTGGCTTGGCTTGTTAATTAATAAAAGGTATGGATGTTTGAAGCCGAACTTACTTTGCCTCTTTTACATCGGACTGTCGTGACACCGAATAGTTCGATTGTTCTACAATCTTCTCAGGTAGAGGGCCTGGTTTGGGGCGGTTATGTGGTTCTGCCACCTTAACTGATAGTCCAATCTTTGACATGGTAGTTCCAGCCATCAGAACAAGATCAGCTAATCCACGATGCGTTTCATGCACCTTTTGATGTAGACCCACGGCTGTCCTGTATATCCCCACATAGAGGGAGACCATAAAGCAGAGAGGAATCCAAAAGTAAGAGATGGTAAGGATGGTGTTGAAGGCTGTGTAATGCGTAAAGGGAACGTTGCATTGGTCGGAGGGTGGTCTCGGTTGTCCCGTCATCTGGTACCACGCAAATACCAAAGGAATCCACAGGGAAGCTGGCAGAATCCAACTCAGTGCCAGCATCACCCTAAGCTAATGGAGGAGAGTGAAACAAAGGCAAAATACCCTTTCTGCTCCTGTTTTGATACTAACATAGACATGCACAGGTATGTAGCAAATTCATTCTTTCACTTTCACTTTTTTTTTTAAATTTGTTTCGATTTTGAGTTCATTGCGTATGCCAAATTCAGGACACAAAGCAGCCAATATGCTTTAAAAAAAATCTCCCAAATAAGTCGCCTTTGCCGAATGTGATGTTTTGAAGAGGCAAAAGTTCATTTGCACGGACCGATGTTTCGCTCGCCAATCCATTACGACAGTAATGCCAACGTTATCATCGAGTGTTAGTTTTGTGGGTTTCTCGAGCCTTAAGAAACACCCTTAATGTTAAAAACTCTCATTATTTATATTCTTCTAAATATTATTTTGTACTAGGCTCGAACATCAAGAATACAATTCGTTATTTATTTTGCAAATTCGACCAAGTTGAGCCTTTTTTATTCAACTTGTGCTGATTAAAACCAAAGAACTGTTTGATAGGTCACTCACAGGTTTTGGGACCAATTGACCATTCTTTGAGAGTCGAGCATTTGAAAATCATCAGTCATCATCCTGTTTAAAAGACTTGATGCCATATTGACAAGGAAATTGAGAGGCTCAGGAAGAGTAACCGGTGTAAAACCATATTACAGTGACTCAACTGAGGACACCTACCACTTAATTAGCACAAATCGCCGTCAATTTCTTTATCTTAACTCTCCGTTTTAACTTCATGGGCACTTACAGCCCCATTTTTGTACTTCGGCTAAGCGGCAGAGCCTTTGGGCTATGCCTGTGGCCCACCCCATTTCCTTGTTTGTCTGCAATTCATATCCCAAAATGGCATTGCCTTTTCCTGCCTTTAAGGTTGTCCTAAAGGCACAAAGGCTTCCGTTTAGAGGTGTGATAATAGGTTTTGAATAATGATACTGTCAGAGCGTAGAGCAGCCAATCTGTAGCAATTCGTCGAATGCATTTCTTTGAATCATGTTTACGATGTCTGCGAAGTGTGAACAACAGCTAGCTTAGAGGAGCAAGGGTGAATCATCCAGCCCCAGAGCTTTGAGGTAGAAGGGTGTGCTACATTTTAGAATGCTGCAGTCTTAATGCTTTCACCAAGTAAAGACCGGCAGACGGAGGAATGAAAGAAGATTTACCCTGATAAAAGGTTTACTTGTAGTGAGTGCGTAAGTTTACTACTCAGTCACTTAAATTGATTGCTAAAACAGGGCTTCAACAAGAAAAAAAAACGCACTCTGCTGCCCTTTGCTGACGCTTTGAAACGTTAGGGAGAGATGTAACGTCAGAACAGGAATGTCAATGTTTATATGATTTGGCCGATTAAATCGAGAGAAAAATTTATGGTTCAGCGAAACAAACACAACGGTTAGAGGTTTGCAAAATTTTGACTACTTCATTTACTTCTCCTCATTAAATCTCGATGAACACTTCATGGAGCCAATAAGTGTACGCGAGTTCTGCTAGTCCAGAAATAGCGACAAAGTATCAAGGCAAAAAGAGAAACGCTTTACCAAAGTGATTGTCATTAGTATCTTTTGTTATCGACATCAACAGCTTCTCATAGACTAAAAAGCATATTACATTTTTAACTGCATAAATGAGATGGACGTGCCTTTTCTGTGGCCACCAGGGAGGATTGGCTAGTGTTTGTTTCACAAGATGCGTAGAAGGACAATGGTACGATCAGGCGTGGTCAAAAAGTAGGAATGGCGCAATTAAGGTTAAAAGTTAAGCTGCATCCTCCTGACTGGAATAATGAGTGGCTCAAGAACAAAGAATGACAATCTAAAATACATTTCAGCGAACGAGCTATGCGTGTATTACTTGACTTTATATCATATTAACTTAAACAAATGTGTTTTTTGAAGATAATGTTGCCTGCCAAGGCAACTAGGAAATTGGCAATACCCGCATGTGTATGTGCACGTGCGGGTATTGGTGTGGGCCATTGATGATGTACAATGCAGACCGGTTGGGGCTCAAACGCCTAAACAGACATTTTGGATGGGCCTAGCAGAAGATAAACTAATAATCAAAGGTTAAAAACATGACATTAAAGTATCAGTTGTACTGGCTACCTTGTTATCTGATCGCCAATTTCGATATTTGACGGGAAACTTGACAGACATGAAACGATCCAGCGTGATCAAGAAGACTGTCACCTGAGAGACCAGACAAGCGGTAAAATCGATGGCAAGCCAGCAATCGCAGACGAAATTTCCCAACGGCCAATAGCCCAGGAGGAGGTAGAGAATAAGAAGATTGAGAGAAATCAATCCAATGGTCAGATCAGTAACGGCAAGAGAGATGATGAAGTAATTATTCGAGCTGCGTACTCCCCTATCCACACAAAAAGCGAATAACACCAGCAAATTTCCAAGGATGCAGCATAGTGATACCACGCTGGACAGTATGCCCAACACCACCTTTACTGGAAGTGTGTAAATACTGTAATCCTCCATCTACAATGCAAAAATCTAGCATTTAAAAATTAAAAAGGGTTCGGAAAAGTAAGTATTAAATTGAGTGTGGAATGCAAAATGCGCATTACTGTCGACATTAGCAACCCCGATCGAGATAAGTTGAAGGAATTTATTGCTTAGATGATTCCCACAAAACTACCCTGATTTTCCTGCAAATCCAAATCACAAATTATAACTTCAATTACACATTTGAGAACATTGCAAACCTTTATGAAATTTGAATGAGCTTCAATCTACAAAAACAGTGAGTCGCCTATTTAAAGAACATGTTTCCTTCATTAATGTTTTATAAAACTAAAAGCTAACAGTAAGAGCCAGTAACTAACTAAGCATTGTGTAGAAAAAACAGTCAGTAAAAAGGTTTTGACAAGGTCAAATGATCAAAAGATAGAAATGCTAGGCGAACAAGTCGCACATCTACTCACAAGTATCACATGAAAACAGCAAAACTTCAAGGATTCGCTAGGATTCCGAGCATTACCAAGACCTGATACAGTCAATATCAAATCAAAAGATCAGATTTGAAATTGCTGCTCTTTGACCGTAGCGTCATTTATTTCTATGTCATGGGGTCCTCCTATTGGCGCAGCTCGAATTAGCCAATCAGATTTGGGGAAGACGCGTGCCAACCACAAATTTGGGGCAAAAGTGGGCTGTGGGCGCACACGCACACGGCACGACACACAATATGAATTAAGATGGCAGGATTGTGCCGATTAATTTAAATTTATGCCACTAGATCAGTCAGAGGCGTGGACCGCGCAATTGGAGAGGTCTAAAGAAGTCAACACCGGACAATGTCGAATGTGGCCCCGCATTTTCGAGGAATTTTTAACCAAGCTCAACGCCTAAATGCTAGCTTCTTATTTATCCGATGTTTTTCGTGAAAAAACTTGTACATATTTGGACATCCATGTGTAGAATCCATCCATTATCACTGGGCCTGAACCCATTTTGCAGGATTTTGCATGTGTCGACCGGAAAAGATCATAAATTTTCATGTGCTGGTGAGAAAAAATCTCGCCTTTTTATTGATGTGCAGCTTTGACATTGTAGGCAAAATTTATTTCGTAACAGAATTAGGGAAGAGTTTTAGTTGTAAAATAGCATGATTTAGTGCACAAAGGGATAACAGCTACTTCCTCCCCAACGTTACTTGTGCGCAATCCTCGCTTTTTAGGAAGAAAGTGATCACAACTCCTTCATAATCTTAACATATCCCAAATAGGAGGTCAACGTTTTATCCAATTCCTCACATTTCTTTTAGTCATTTAAAAGGTTCCGTAAAGCATCACAAAGCCTCGTTCCTACCCTTAACTTCTCAGTCTGGGTTTTTTATTAAGGAAGAATTTAAGAAAGCAAAATCACTGTGCAGTATAAAGAAGGAAAACACAAATGAGGGACATTATTTTCTCGGTTAACGGCAAATTACACTTTAGATTTTGTTGGCCCGGAGAGGTAGCCAATCCCAAAGGCCACGTAGGCGATGAAGCGGCCAATTTTATTGTTTAGCAACCTGCTCCATTAAAAGTTTGCTAAAATGACTGCAAGAATTTTGGACAAATTCTTATTCGTTTCTGTTAAAATTGCTAAAATGTTTATTAATCCCCACACACACACACACATAATGAGGTTGGATAAAAGATTGTTTAGCAATTTTGCCTTCTGCGTGGTCATTCTTTGCGATGTTAAATAGCTTTCCCACGAATATATGTGTAAATGTCCCACGATAAAAAATGTGGAATAATCGATCCCCTTTCCATAGGCTCTTTGATAAATACGGGTTTAAAACTTCCGGAAAACCATTTGCATTCAAATGAGGCCAAACATTTACAGTCCTTTCGTTTAATTGAGTCGTGTAACATAGGTGGTATTTGCCTGTTGGTGAGTTGTGTCCTATTTGCGATCCCAATTGCCCACTTCCTCTCCTTGAGCATTATGGACTTCATAGAATGCAATCTGGACTTGGCCACTCTGTGAGCCAAAGTCAGCGTGGTTCCATGTAGGCACTCGCTCCAAATTAGTGTTACAAAGGATAGCTCTCCTTGACGATTTGTATCCATCTAAGACAACAGTGATGGAGACGGAAATAGTAGAAGCTATTGAACAAATGGATTGCATTAACATGGTGAAAAGTAAGTGGGGGTTTTCCGCATCCACTTTTAAGCTTTTTAGAAATAGTTTATTAACTGACTAACTGACGCAAGACCAATAATCTACATTTTAGTCAAGAAGGACTCCACCTCTTCCTTTTATACCTCCTTTATATTCATTAAAGATAGAATTGCTCAATTAGTTCTGGGAAAGATATCTGTCGCCCATCCTCCTGCCCTGATGCCTTACCACAAAGTGATGGGTATCACCTCTGCCTAATAGACAGTCCCTTCACTACACACATGCACAAACTTTAGGCACTTATAAAGAAACGGAGAGCCTGAAATAGGCGTGTCTGGGACTAAATTATTTGTCTCTACAACCAAGTGGCAATTAATGTTTTTAGTCTCAAAAGGATACGGTTGCATAATGAATCCGTCATTGTTTTAACCAATAAAGTGTGTTTATGAAGTTGCCATTGTAAAGTAAAAAAGTGAACAACCCAGCTTATCTGTTTACCACATTCATGCGACGCCTCCTCCATACACTTATTTCAGTCTTTGTGCCTGCTTTTTGACAAAACGTCATTTCTTATTGACAAGCATAAAATGCACGTCACGCAGCATTACTGAAGCTCTTCAGTCCTCTCATTTCAGAGTCCAATGTGTACATACTGGTTGTTTAAATTGGGCTATGAAGGAGCGGCTCGATTTTAATCCAAACGTCGTGCAGGTGAAGTACGAAGACCCTTCCCTAAACTAACCCTGATAATATTTTGGCATACCTTTTCTCCTTCTGTCTGTACCTTCCTTAAGATGCCTAATAAATCAGTGTCGAATAGTCCTTCCCCTAAGCAAGCTGAGACGAAAGATGTGGAGAGCGTGGAAGAAGTTGTTTTCTCTACCATTCGTAAGTGTGGTCTCTCACCTCGTCTCTGCGTCGATGAACGACATTCAGGGAACGATTTGAAGGATCCAGGTGGTGCTAAGCTGGTGTTTCATTTCATTCATACTTAAAGGCACATAACGGGCAGTTCAGTGGTGCTACTCACGAGTGGTAGTTGGAGTTTATGTAGCAGCTTCCAGGACGGGTGGTAACTAGACCCCTTGGTGTCCATTGCTGCTCAAAAGCTGAAAAATGCATTTGTCTTCAGATCATGAGCTGTTATGTGTAAGCTGTTGTATTCTTCATTAATTTGTCTGCAACGCACCATATATTGTAGTTGAGTGTCGCACACTGATGAAGAACACGCATTATGTT